AGGGGGGAATAATGTAGTAAAATGAACAATTATTAGAATAATGATTTGTCTGAATAACTGCAATAATGATGTGTCTGCATAATTGCTAGAATAATGATGTAATGCATAATCACTGGGAAAGTTCTGTGTCAGTAATATGTGGCAACCAAATGCGCTTTGCACATGGATACTTTGTTTGTAGCAAAACCTTCCATTGTATGCCTGTGAGAAACGCTCCTAATGTATCACAGTGTATTATCATGTGTAGTCTCTTTGTTCCTGAAAGGAGGGTAGTATAAAAACTGAAGTCTAATCCCACCCTCTTCGTTCAGAATTGCCTATCTCTAATATGCCTCTGAACCTTGCGCAATAAACTTCTCTGCTAAACCCCTCTGGAATTCGTAAGAGTTCTTTCGTTTTCCACAAGACCAAGGCATGGTCCACTGGAGGAGCCTCACTGCCTGCTGAAACCCCTCCGCCGGAGCCCATCAAGCTGCATATGTGAAGTAGGCAAGGGCCATTTCCTGGCCACTTCCAGGCGATGGTGCATTTCTTCATTCCTCACAAAGGGTGACACCTCCCCAGCATGCACCCAGGGGGCGGGGGCGACACAGCAGGGGCTAGTTCCTCGCTGTTTCTAGACGGCCTTGTGGAGCTAAGATTGGATGCATTTCAGCATAGATGGCCACCACAAAATTGTACATTGGCTCCTGGTTGGCCTGGGCCAGGGCCAAGGCAGTGGGGGCTGTTCCCTCACTGTTTCCAGGATGGCTTTGTGGGCCACATGAAACCACTTCGTGGGCCGCATCCAGCCCCCGGGCCTTGTGTTTGACATGTCTGATCTATGCTATACTACATTATATCTATGGCTAGTGTACTGTTAACTATTACTATTATAGAATAGAATTCTTTATTGGCCAAGTGTGATTAGACACACAAGGAATTTGTCTCTGGGGCATAAGCTCTCAGTATAGATACAAGCGATGTACACTGTAGTAGTATACAGCAATATTTTTACTCTTTCAAATCCTGGTCTGTCTTTAAATCCTCTCTGCGGTTTTCTCTGTTGTTTTTCTTTATTAATGGACAGCAAGTAAAGCGCTAGCACCTTCCCAACATTGATCTTGGCTTATGCGATGTCACGTTTTATGATCGCATCACTTAGTGATGGGAGTTCTGATCCAGATTCCATTCCTTAACCAATGACTTACCTGTATAAGTGGTCCTCAATTTATGATCACAATTGAGCACAGAATTTATGTGGCTAAGTAAGACATTTGTTAAGCGAGGTTTGCCCCATTTTACGACTCTTCTTATCACATTTATTAAGTGAATCATTAGAACTGTTAAATTAGTAACATGGTTGTTAAGTGAATCTGGCTTCCCTATTGACTTTGCTTGACAGAAGGTCGCAAAAGCTGATCACATGACCCTGGGACCCTGCAACTGTCATAAATGTGAGTCAATTCTCAATGTATATCATGTCACCATTGGGATGTCGTAAGCTTGAAAAATGGTCACAATTCACTTTTTTCAGTGTGGTTGTAAATTTGAATGCTCACTAGACGTACTGTTGTAAGTCGAGGACTACCTATATTGGAATTCAACATAATTCAAGCACAAGCAATAGAAGAAGGTCACATATATATCAATGTATCCTGTGTGAAAAGAGTTTCAGGACGATGAATTCCTCTCACAAACGAAACCAGGATGAGAAGCCGTGAAATCCATGTTCAAATATGTTGAAACATCTTGAAGCATTAGAGCCATGGTGGCGCAGTGGTTAGAATGCAGTATTGCAGGCTACTTCTGCTGACTTCCAGCAGTTTGATTCTCACAGGCTCAAGGTTGATTCAACTTTCCATTCTTCTGAGGCCAGTAAAATGAGGACCCAAATTGTGGGGGGTAATAGGCTGACTCTTTAAAGCAGTGGTTCTCAACCTTTTTAATGCCGCGACCCCAACCGGTCGTAAGTCGAGGACTAAACCGGTCGTAAGTTGAGGACTAAACCGGTCGTAAGTTGAGGACTAAACCGGTCGTAAGTCAAGGACTACCCAACCGGTCGTACGTCGAGGACTTTCCCTGCCCAGGAGCGCTGCGCATGCGTGGTTCCGCCCCCTGCGCCGGCCGAGGGGTAGCTGGCAAGCGGCAGAGATGGAGCAGGCCGACCACCAGCTGGCCCAGCCCAAGGGAGGTAAGGCACCCGCCGGAAAAGGGGGAAAAAAATGGCGGAAAAAAAATGGCGGACAGCCTTGCTTGGCGACCCCCATGAAATGGTTGATCAACCCCAAATGGGGTCCCGACCCACAGGTTGAGAACCACTGCTTTAAAGCATTTATTTATTTATTTATTTATTTTATTTGATTTATATCCCGCCCTTCTCCCGACGGGACTCAGGGCGGCTCACAACATATATTAAAAAACATACAACCCCACCGAAGTAAAACCAATTAAAACCGAATATTTTTAAAATCCTCCCTAGGCCAGGCCCGCTTGCTGAAAAAGCCATGTCTTGAGGGCGCGGCGGAAAGTAAGGAGATCCGGAATCGTCCGGATCTCGGGGGGTAGTTCGTTCCAGAGGGTGGGGGCACCCACAGAGAAGGCCCTCCCCCTGGGGGTCGCCAGCCGACATTGCTTGGCNCCCTCCCAACACCGCCCGCGCGGCCGCATTCTGGACCAGTTGAAGCCTCCGGGTGCTCCTCAAAGGGAGCCCCATGTAGAGAGCGTTACAATAGTCCAGGCGGGAGGTGACGAGAGCATGAGTGACTGTGCGCAAGGCGTCCCGGTCCAGAAAAGGTCGCAACTGGTGAATCAGGCGAACCTGATAAAACGCCCCCCTGATAAAACGCCCCCCTAGAGTACAGTAAAGCAGTATGAAGCGGTATATAACTTTATATACCAAATAAATTGGATTTCTTTAAAGTTAATTGGATTCTAATTACATTTGAATAAAATTAATTTTGATTTAAATAAAATTAAATATTACTGGTATGGTTATTCATAAGACTTTTTAAAAATCAAGTGTATTAAAGACTGAGAAAAATTTGCTGAAAAGAACCAAGCTATTGGTGAGAGATTCTAATTGCATTCTTTTCAAATTGCTTCTTAACTCTATTTCCCCATTTCTTTATTTCATTAATTTAGATAAATCTCTTTGTTATTCTTGCACTGTCACCTCCAAATCCAGACTAATCTCTTCAAACCATGGGAGTTTTCAGCTCTTTTGGCTAGAAGAAAATTGGTATTTTCTTTAGCGCAGTTGCCTTACATTGTCTTCAAAATTCCTGCTCATATTTCCTGAGCTGTATTCCCTATTGAATACCGAAATGAAGCCATTTTCCTTTTTCCCCTCATGGCATTTGAACTTTATATGTACTCCTCAAGGTTTGCCTTCCGGCATTTTGTAATTCCACCTTTTCTCCGGTCACCTATGAGACACCATTCATTTCTCCATCATGGACCCTTTGTTTTGAGGTAAAATTTCTAAAACTTCCATGATTTGAGCTTTCTCTCCATTTTGGAACTTGTTTACTTTTGATACCGTTTCTTCAGTATTATTCTCATTTTTGCTGCTGCCACTTGCTGTTTTGAACCACAGTTGGCCGCCCAGAGGCAAGAATTTGAAAAGGCAGCTGTAATAATTGAACTCACCAAATAAAAAAATGAATAAAAATCATAATTTTCCTAACAGAGATTTTGTCAATATTCACAAGATGGCAGATTGTTCTTAGACGTTAAAAAAGGAAAGTCTAGAAAATGTTGCCTGCTGAAGACAGGCGAAGTTAGAGGGACCCTTTCCTTCTACTCCAATGCCCATCATCCCAGGCCCGCATGGAACATGACGATCTCCCCTATTCCCTTGCAGCGTCTATCTAGCGTTGCATGCAGGATCCACCAGGGGGCTCCCTGGGCTGCCGTTACAAAGCCCTCACCTGCCCCCGCTTCAGGAGAGAACTGAGCATGCGCTCTTCCAGCAGGTCAAGAGACATGCTCGGTGCATTGTCCAGAAGAGGCTGATGGTGCTTCCGCCCTTCCTACGGGTGCGATTCTTCTCTCTCTCTCTCTCTCTCTCTCTCTCTCTCTCTCTCTCTCTCTCTCTCTCTCTCTCTCCCCCCCCCCCCCCCCCCCCCCCACCACTGCCTCCTTCCCGCTGCGAGCCTTAGGCTGAGCCTTTCCAGGAAGCCCAGAGGCTGCAAGGGAAGCCTTGCATGCATGGAGATCAAGACCTAACTCCGGAGTTCAGTAAGTGGGGGGACGTTTCTTTCACGGGCTGGACCGTGCATGGAGACAACCAAAACTTCATCAGGTTCGGAGGCGTGGGAAGGGGGGAGCCCGGGGTCCCATGTTCCCCTGCCGCCCCTGTGCATGCACGGGCCAGGCAGGGAAGAAATCAAAGCTCCGGACGCGCTGCGTTGCCTCCAGGAAGAACTTCAGGATCGCCAGAAAGGTCGGAGCCATTCAGGATTAGGCTAAAAGTGGGGAACCTGTTTCCAGGAGATGCCTGAATGAAAACATCATGTTAAGCTGGTTTATTGATTCGGATATTATTCTGTTTGCATTGAATTCTGTTTGCATTGAATTCCAATTTCTGGAATTTTCTTTTGTTTTCCTTTTCAGATATATAAGTTGGAAATCTTTCCTGATTGCTCTTGAGTCATAAATATCTTTTGTGGGAAGAGGGCTAAATGGACTTAGGAAATTTTGACAGACCTCTTCTGATTAGGAAGACCTGTGCAGATCCATCAGTCTGTTTTGGAGCTGGATTAGAGACCAGAGAGAAGATGGAGGGACAACGCCCAGCTGGAAAAAACCCTGCAGCTGCTCAGTCTTGGAGCTTTGAGATGAATGGGGCAAGTCCTGGGCAGAAGAACCAAGAAGATGAAGCCAACAGTTCAGAGGTCCAATGCTGTCACTTCAGAAAAGTGCAGTTCCAGGAGGGGAGGGGACCCCGAGATATTTGCAGTCAGCTTCACCGCCTTTGCTGTCAGTGGCTGCAGCCAGAAATACACACGAAGGCGCAGATGCTGGACCTGGTGCTCCTGGAGCAGTTCCTGACTGTCCTTCCACCAGAGATGGCGAAATGGGTGCGCGAGTGTGGAGCGGAAACCAGTTCCCAGGCGGTGGCCCTGGCCGAAGGCTTCTTGCTGAACGTGGATGTGGAAAAGATGCAAGAAGAGTTCCAGGTGTGAGAATATAGTCTTAACAGGTCTAAAGAGAATCTCTCTGTATTTGTCAATTCCTTTCTGTCAGATTTTTCTGGAATTATTAACTCCTAAAGTGAGTTGTTCTATTCTTCCAGAGGATGTATTTGGGGCAATTCTTCCATTCTATTTCAGGTTTCAACAATGGACATTGTAGTAGTTTGAAGGTGCAGTATGATAATTCATTTCTATCTCTGTGCTCTTCCTTTGTTTCTCCTATCATATCATGTCCAGAAATCCTCGGAAGCCGCGACTCAGTATCCCAAGGGGGGGAAAGATTCATCCAAACCCTCTCAAGAGCTGCTGTTCGGGGAGAACTTCCAGAAAGGTCAAAGTCAGGACATCACGCCAGGTAACAGAAGGTCTTTCTGTGTGATGTGAGATTTCAACATTTAGCTGATTCTTTAGCTGCACTTCATTACAATCTCTCTCTTTAACAAATCTGCTTCCCCCATTTTTCTCTCTCTCACAGAGAGTAGAAAGCTGTCCGTGGAACTTGTAGACTCACCTCCTCTTTGTGGTGGAGCTGAAGGATTGGCTGAACCTCTACTTCAGGTAAGGAGGAGAAACGTTGGAAAAGGTCCATGAATCTTGGATGGATTTCATTTTGTTCTAGAGTTCAATGTATAAAATTTCTGTTTCTAAGCAATATAAATTTGACATCCGGTCATAGAACATTCACGCTCAGCTTAGCCTATCCTCTCTCTTCTGAGGGGATCCTTTGTGAGATGCTTTCTCCTCCTGCTTTGCCATCACATTTCATTGACCAGACAGTTGTGAGCATTGGGGCTGTTCCTTCTGTCTCCCAGGGTCATTCTCACATACCATTATAAAAAAAATCCTTATTTTGCATTTGAAAAGCATCTTTGGGACAAGTGTGATCTGGTGATTGAGAATCTCCATAGATATATATATATAGTACTATTACAATCTCTTTTAACACCTTCATGAAGGTGTGGATTTGGCGTACGTTGGTTCCTCAGTTGATAAAGTAAGCCATTGGCAAAAATAGGTGTGTTTTGTCAGTATTTTGCATTGCCCACCCTAGGAAGAATTGGACCCACTGATAAGTAGTGGATTTAAGACCCAACTACCAATTGACCAAGAAAACTATTTTAGTTGGCTATGCTGAAAGGCATTCCAAATACCTCCAACTAGATCCAATCTGCTTCAGTTATGTCATCAGCCAAAAACGGTGAGATCTCACTTTGAATTCTGCAGAGGATGCCCATTTTGTTCACTAGATCTCTTTCCTAGAATTAATGGAAGAAAAACCTCAAATTATTCTTGGGATTATCTGTTAATAGGGAAATTTCTTTTCTTCTTCAGGATGTTGTGTCTTTTGAGGAAGTGGCTGTGTATTTCTCCAAGGAGGAGTGGTCTCAGCTGGTCCCTGCCCAAAAAGCTCTCCACGGAGAAGTCATGCTGGAGAATTCCAGGAATCTGGCTTCTCTGGGTAAGAATCCCTGTCTGTGCTCAGAAACATAGAGAAGTCTGATAAAAACATCATTTATTGATACTCTGCCTTTATTTTTTGTAAATAATAAAGCTAGCGGACAAACCCCAATATTCCTTCCTCCTGCTGTTTTCCCCACAACAAGAACCTTGTGACCTGGGTTGAGCTGAGGGAGACTGGCCCAAAGTAACCCAGCCAGCATTCATGCCTAAGGCAGAACTAGTACTCCCAGTCACCCAGTTTCTAGCCTGGTGCCTTAACCGTTTGACCAAACTGACTTTATGGAAGAAGGAAATTTATTGGAAGAAAAATTGAAAAACTGCCTTATCTTCCTTTTTACATAAAGGAAATGTGGTGTTTTTTTTTTAAAAAAAAAGAAATGCTTTCTGCTGATAAAATACAAAATATTCATTTCCATGCCAAAGAAGATATTAGTCACAATGTGAGGGACAGGCTCCATGCAGGGATGGTGTGGCCTCTCTTGAGCAAAGGTCCTGCCTACCAGGGGTTCAGTATCCATTCCTGACCCTGGTCATTGGCTCCCCGATGGGCGTGAGCTGCTATAAGCAGGACTGGATTTAGCCCTGAGAGGGATGTTCCCTTCCTAGAGATGTGCCCACTTGTGTACAGAGTTTACCATTAGCCTAAGTTGAGGGTGGGGAGCTATTGCCATCCAGGAATTCCCCTTGGCTTTCAAAGATTCTTCCCTGAAGACAAGTGGAGATGAGACTTTCATTGAAATTCGGGACTGGGTGTATATGTTGCTAACCTAGCATGATACAGTATTCAGTGCACTTAGGGAGTACGTGGCACCATGGAATAGTCCCAGGTCAAAGATTAGATCAGGAAGAAAAGGTTTGATTTTTCCCCTATTCTTGCTACAGTTTTCGTTTTTCTTTTTCAAGGCTTTAAAGGGCAAGAAAATAAGAATTGCAAGGAAGAATGCCAAATGATCCATTCAAAAGAGGGAAAAGGGAAGTTTCCAGATCAGATACAGCCAAAGAGGGATGAAACAAAGCAATCACAAAGTGGAATGAAAAAAGGCTTTCCGAGGGTCAGTTGGCGTCATAACCATACAAGCATTGATATGGGAGAAGAACCATATAAATGCATGGAGTGTGGAAAGAGCTTTAAGAAATCTGATCATCTTATTTCCCATAAAAAAACACATTTAGAAGAGAAACCATATAACTCCAGGGAGTGTGGAAAGACCTGTAATTATTACTCTCTTAGAAGTCATGAAAGAAATCACAAAGAAAAAAGACCTTATAAATGCATGGAGTGTGGAAAGACCTTTACTTGTAGCAGTAGCCTCAATTCCCATAAGAGTATCCACACAGGAGAGAAGCCATATCAATGCCTAGAATGTGGAAAGACCTTCTCTTATGATTACTCTCTTGTAATCCATCATAGGAACCACAAGGAAGAAAGATCTTATAAATGCATAGAGTGCGGAAAGACCTTTACTTGCAGCAGTAGCCTCAATTACCATAAGAAGATCCACACTGGAGAGAAGCCATATCAATGCATGGAATGTGGAAAGACCTTATCTAATAATTACTCTCTGATAATCCATCATAGGAATCACAAGGGAGAAAGATCTTATAAATGCATGGAGTGCGGAAAAACCTTTACTTGTAGCAGTAGTCTCAATTCCCATAAGAGGATCCACACCGGAGAAAAGCCGTATCAATGCATGGAATGTGGAAAGACCTTCTCTTATAATCATTCTCTTACAATCCATTACAGGAATCACAAAGGGAAAAGACCTTATAAATGCATGGAGTGCGAAAAGACCTTTAGTTGTAGCAGTCATCTTCATTACCATATGAGGATCCATACAGGAGAGAAGCCATATCAATGCATGGAGTGTGGAAAGACCTTTACTTGTAGCAGTAGTCTCAATTACCATAAGATGATCCACACTGGAGAGAAGCCATATCAATGCATGGAGTGTGGAAAGACCTTTACTTGTAGCAGTCGTCTCAATTACCATAAGAGGATCCACACTGGAGAGAAGCCATATGAATGCGTGGAATGTGGAAAAACCTTTACTTCTACTCATCATCTTAATTCCCATAAGATGTTCCACACTGGAGAGAAGCCATATCAGTGTGTGGAGTGTGGAAAGACCTTTACTTGTAGCAGTAGTCTTAATTCCCACAAGAGGATCCACACAGGAGAGATGCCGTATAAATGTGTGGAATGTGGAAAGGGCTTTAGGTGGAATTCTGCTCTTACCTCCCACAAAAGAATCCACACAGGGGAGAAGCCATATCAATGCATGGAGTGTGGAAAGATCTTCTCTTATAATCATTCTCTTATAATCCACTATAGGAATCACAAAGGAGAAAGACCTTATAAATGCATGGAGTGTGGAAAGACCTTTAATTGTAGCAGTAGTTTCAATTCCCACAAGAGAATCCACACAGAAGAGAAGCCATATCAATGCATGGAGTGTGGGAAGAGCTTTAAGTGGAATTCTGCTCTTACCTCCCACAAAAGAATCCACACAGGGGAGAAGCCATATCAATGCATGGAGTGTGGGAAGAAGTTTGCCAGGAGTCACACTCTTTCTTGGCATAGAAGGATCCATACACGGGAGGAACCCTATCAATAAAAGAAGTGTGAGAAGAGCTTTGAAAGAAAAAATTAGAAAACTGCACAGGTTTCCTTTTATATATGGAAAATGGATTTCTTTCACAATGATTTCTGCTGATAAAATACAAAATGCTCTTTTCCATGCCATAAAAGATATTAACAGGAATCTGAGGGGAGGGTTGCATACAGGAATGGTATGGCCTCTCTCCTTCCCCCTCAAGAATGGGCCTCTTACGGCAGCCTCTCAGTAAAATGTTCTCTGGTAGCTTTTTGATTTTTTATTATTCTCTGTGATTTGCTTTGCGTTTCATATTGAAGAGACAAACTATTAAGCATCAAGCAATGTTTTTTTTAATGGGCAGCTTTCTGTGACTATATCCCCCACTTTACAAATGCAGAGGAGATTGTCATCAAGGATGTGGCAGCTCTCTCTAAACAAAACAAAAAAACAAGGACGAGACAGCTGCGAAGAAGGGGTAAGCGAGCAGGGATTTTGACTAGACCAGGGGTTGGCAACCTGCGGCTCCGGAGCCGCATGCGGCTCTTCCATCCATCTGCTGCAGCTCCCTGTTCTCCGCCACCGTGGGCAGTACCACAAAAAAAAAAAGTTTGTGGGACTAAAAAAAGTTCAATCAATTCCAACTTCTCGCAAAAAAAAAAAAAAGATCTCGCAAAGTTGGATTGAACTTTTTTTTTAGTCCCACAGACAGAATTCCAGAACCATCCAGTAAAATGAAGGGAGGGGAGTCTCTGCTTTTATATCAACAATCGGTGATATAAAAATGTAACTACACTAAAGAAATTCTGTGATGTGGACTTAGAGACATTAATTATCAGTTGCAAACCGTTTTATTCTCCACGAGAGTTTTCTTCATTCAGTCTACTTGCAACATATATTCCTCCAAAAGCTTGAATAAACAATGCATTACAAACTCTAGCTGACTAGATTGTGTGGGCTGAAGAGAAATACCCAGATTCGCTCCTCATTGTGTTAGGAGATTTCAATAGTGCTAAATTAAGCCAAGACCTACCACGATACTTTCAGCATATCAAATGTCTTACTAGAGGCAAGAATACTTTAGACCACTACAAGACAACTTTAAAAGATGCTTTTTGGTCTTTACCATGAGCAGCCGTGGGATACTGTGATCATTGTATGATTCACCTTCTACCTCTTTGTAGACAAAGGCATAAAACCAATAATTAAATCGGTGAAGTCTTGGACTGAGGAGGCAAAGTTAAAGCAACGGGCTTGTCTTGATTGCACAGATTGGAACGTTTCCGAAGATACCTTTGCAGACTTGGATGAACTCGCAGATACTGTAACATCATATGTTGGTTTTTGTGAAGACCTATGTGTGCCGACCAGAAACCTACGAATTCATAGTAACAACAAGCCTTGGTTCACAGCTAAACTCAATCAGCTACAACGTGCCAAAGAAGAAGCCTACAAGAAAGGAGATAGAATGTTGTACAGTCAGGCCAGAAATGTATTCACAAGGGAGATCCAAGCAGCAAAAAGAATTACTCTGAAAAGCTGAGAGATCAGCTCTCAACAAACGAACTAGCAAATGTGTGGAAAACTCTTAAAAATATCACTGGTTACAGCAAACCTCCTTTCCATGCTGAAGGAAATCAACAACTAGCGGATGACCTGAATGTGTTTTACCATAGGTTTGAGAGGAAACCACTGTCAACTATTCAACATTATGCAAGCACAAGCAATAGAATATAGTCAAACTAGAGCAGTGATGGCGAACCTTTTAGAGACCGAGTGCCCAAACTGCAACCCAAAACCCACTTATGCATCTCCGGGTGCCGGGTGGGTGTGGCCCACCAAGTGGGCGCGGCCCACTGAGTGGGCGTGGCCACTGAGTGAGTGTGGCTATGGTAGTCATGGCAGCATGGGTGGGTGTGGCCAGGGTGGGCATGACCACCTTGATTCTTCTGGGGAGGGATGCCTGTGGGGGCTGGGCAGGGTTGAGGGAGATCTAGGGGTTCTCTGTGGGTGGGGTAGTGGGCAGGAGGCGAGGTAAGGTGAGGGAGGGGGGCAGGGTAGGGGTGCCATTGCTTTGGGTCAAGGCAAGGGAGGGGCTGGGGCAGGGGCTGGTTGCAGACAAAGGGCGGCTCCAGTGAGGACGACGAGGTAGAACAGGGTTTAAGCAAGCTTAGCAACCAGAGTGGGTATCCCCCCCCAAAAAACAAACATGTCTCGTGGCTAACCTCAAAGCACGACGGGAAGAGACCAAAACCTCCTGCAACCACGCAGCACGTGTGAGGGGAATAAAAACATTTATGCAGGAAAAAATACATGTACAGGTATAGTGCACTATGAAGTGGTATATAAGTTTAAATGCTATTGTGATTTTGCCTTTCTATGATACGATAAGAATAAGGAAATGTCTAAATTCAATTTAAATAAATTGGATTTATTTAAAGTTAATTTGATTCTAATTACATTTGAATAAAATATTTTGGATTTAAATAAAATTAAACATTACTGGAATGGTTATTCATGAGACTTTTTAAAATTCGAGTGTATTAAAGACAGAAAAACTTTTGGAATGACTTTGAGGGGGGAATACTCGGGTTTTCAGAGACTGAGGCTACTTTGAAGCAATTTATTCAAATGCTGCTCATTGATGGTTCTAGATCAAACTTGTGAAAGGGCAGCAATGTTGGGTTTGTAGCCATTATGTCAATTTTTCCCATTAAAGAAGATTGAGAAAAAT